CCCCCCCCCCCCCCCCTGGCAGGACGCCTGTGACCGCAGGCGCTCCCCGCGCGGGAGCGAGCGCGCCAGCGGATGCACGCGGCGGCGCTCGCCTTTCTGCGGGAGCACGACCTGCTCGTCTGCCCCTGCACGCTGATGCCGCCCTTTCGCGGCGAGCTGCGGTACCCCGCAGCCCTCGGCGGGGAGGGCGGCGGGGGCGAGGCCCCGCCCCTCGGCTTGGGCGGGGCGGGCGGCGAGGGCGAGGCGGTCTCCTTTGCAGACTACATCGAGTGGATGCTCCCCTGCTCGGTCATCTCGCTCACCGGCCTGCCCTGCCTCGCCCTCCCTGCCGGCAGCACCGCCGACGGCGCACGCCACGTCCGCCCCCGCGGCCCGCGTCCGCGAGAAAAAGAAATACTCTCGGGACTTCTTTGTTAGGGCTGCCTGTCGGCGTGCAGCTGGTCGGCCAGCCGGGCGGCGAGGCGGCGCTGCTCGCCGCCGGCGCCCTCCTCGAGCGCGCGATCCGGCGCGAGGACGCCGCGGCGGGCGTGGCCGGCGTGGCCGTGCAGCCGGCTCAGGGCGCGGGCGAGGGCGAGACCGAGGGCGCGGCACCATGCGCGGCGCTCGGCGCGGGCGGGCTCGGGCCGGTGCTGCCCGTGCCTGTCGAGCCGAGGAGGCTGACTGGCGGGGAGAGGGCGTCGGAGTGGAGCGGGCCGTGCAGCGCGGAGGAGGCCGCCGCGCACTTGCGGCTGGGCGCGCAGCAGCGGGCGTCGGAGGTGGAGAGGGCCGGGAGGGGTTTACAGGTCCGGGCCGTGTATAGGTAGTTGGAGAGTGCCACCGCCAAACGTCCAATATAAAGAAATGAAAATGGTGGCACGCCGTCAGCGCGATTTCGGGCCGTAAACTCGGGGGATCGGGGATGCGTTGAGCACACGACCGCTCGAAAAACCGGAGGACACGTGACCGCCGCCTTAGGGGACCCCTAGGCTTAAAAGGGTGGGCCCTGGGGCGCCTGCGGCTTAAACAGCTTAAAGCGGGCCTGGCCCGTTTCAAGGCTGCCTGGGCCGCCGATTCCTTAAACGGTCTTAAACGCTTAAACGGTCGGCGGGAGAGCTCCCGAGGTCGACGTGGTCCGGGAGGCTCCCGGTAGACGCCGTAGGCCGGGAAGCTGGCTACAGTCAGCTAGCACGCGACGAGGGCACGACCACCACCCTGCTTCCTGACCGGGCAAAAGCCTACTCCCGTCCCGCGAGGAACATCGTCGCTTCGAACTCGAAACCACCGACACACACCGCATTTAAGGCGACACGCACTTGAGGGTAGTGCCGACGGGACGCGGCTCGAAGGGCGTGGCTCCGCAGCGCGACTGGCACTCGTCGCAGAGGCCTCGCATTCGACAAGTCGGGAACGGCTCTACCCGCAACGTTATCGCTAACACGCGCGCACCACCGAGCCTGCGGCGGGCGCGCTGCAGCCGCACGTCTACCTTCGTCATAGTGCCACGACGTGCGGCCTAGAATTAGCACACGTGCCTCTGTTCGCAAACACTCACACATTGAATTGTCCATTAACTGTGAGTGCGAGATAGGGCTAGCTGCTGGCGGCTAGCCCGTGAGGAGGGAGACCATAGACACCTCACTAACCCCACACACGGTCTCGTCCGTGCCTCGCCGGCCGGCGAGATTGCTAGAGGTAGAGCAAGCCTGCTCTAGCCTCGCACGTCACTTCCTGTCGTCTGTTGTTTGTTGTGCCCTTGTTTGTTCCCTTGGCACCTTGGAGTGCTGGGGGGGGCGACAGGAGGGGCGTGGCCCTGGAGTGATGTGTACGCCTACTCAGGGTGTGTGGCAGCCTGGTTGCTGGCTGTGTGTCTTGTGAGCCTGTTTGTGTCTGTGTGTCGCTCGTGCGTGTCGTCATCATCTGTCCCGCGTCCACCCATACCGCGCTGGTGTCCAGTCCGAGCCTGACTGTTGTTCATCTTTCTACCTACCTACCTGGGTGTGCCGCCGCGCGGCGCTCGCGCGGCGGCGGTGTGTGTGTGTGTGTGTGGGTGGGTGGGTGGGTGGGGGGGGGGCTCGGGGGCGCGCGGCTGCCAGGGCAGAGGCGACGGTCATCGGCTCGTCGGGGTGGGGGAGGGGAGGGGGGATGGGCGGTCGGCGAGGGGGTAGAAGCAACAGGGCGTACGGGGTAGTCGTCACTTTCCTGCCTCACAAGGGCGGGGCTGTCCCGGAAAGTGAGAGACGCCGGGCAGCGTGACGCATCAACGAAACCTCCCATACGTGTTCGTGGCTCCTCCTTCGCTGTCCCATCTCCTCATCTCTTTCCCACCTAGGCGGGGCGGGGGTCGGGGGGGCGGCGGGCGCGGGTGCGAGGTGCGGTGCGGTGCGTGCAATCGTGTGTTTGGCGTCATGTCGTGTGTGCCTTCGCTTGTTCCTATTAACAACGAAGTCTAGCTCAAAAAAAGAAAAGCGCCAGGGCACATCCAATCCTGAGACGCTCTCACTACTCGGCAGCCTCCCTTGCACAACACCGAAGACATATGCAGGCCTCTGGTGAATCCTCGGCCTCGACCGCACCTGCATCCTCCCGCGTCGGTGCAAAGCACGCGTTCTCCAGCGGCTGCGCGGCGACGCGAGCTCGGCTTGCACGATCGCCCGCCACGACGCTGGCAAACTCGCTCGCTCTTACGCTGTTGGCGGCGGTTTGCTCCTCCTCGGCGCCGCGCCTCGCCCCGCTCGCGCTCCTCCTGCTGGCGGATCGCGGCGAGGCCGCGGGCACGCTCTGCGACAACAGCGAGTACTGCCCCTCCGGCTGCCCGCTGCCCGTGTATGGCACGTCGCTGTGCGACGGCAACTACTGGGGGACCACGGTGAATCTGGCCTGGAAAGGGCTGTCGGGGACGATCCCTTCGCAGCTGGGCGACATCCCGCAGCTGAGGTACCTTAAATTGGACAGCAACTCCATCTCGGGCACCATCCCTCCCAAGCTCGCGCAGCTGGAGCATCTTTACCTGGAACGCAACTCCATCTCCGGCACCATTCCTTCGCAGCTGGGCGGCATGTCGCAGCTGCATGGGCTTTACCTGCGCTACAACTCCATCTCGGGCACCATCCCTCCGGATACGAGCAAGCTCTCGAAGCTAGAGGAGCTCAGACTGTCCGACAATGACATCTCCGGAACCGTGCCGTCGCAGCTCAACAGCCTGCGGCTGAGGTTCTGCTCGCTGGGCGGCACCAACCACTTCGCCTGCCCCCTGCCCGCCCTTCCCAATGTCTGCGCCTTGGGCTCGGACTCACCTGAGTGCAACTACCCGCCGCCCTCGCTGCCGCCCTCGCCGCCGCCCTCGCCGCCCTCGCCGCCCTCGCCGCCGCCCTCGCCGCCGCCCTCGCCGCCGCCCTCGCCGCCGCCGCCGCCCTCGACGCCCCCGTCTCCGCCGCCCTCGCCGCCCTCGCCGCCCCCGTCGCCCCCTGCAGCACCTGCGCCGCCGCTCCTTCCATCGCCAGGCCCAGGGGGCGTCGACGCCCAAAAGGCCAGCGGGGCCGACACCCTTGTCGCAGTGGGGTCGAGTGCTGCGGAAGCGCGCCATGCGCCCCCGCACGGCACAGGTTCGCACGGCGCGGGCGCGCTCGGCGGGGGCTCGCACGCGGCAGACGCGCATGGTGGCGGCTCGCACAGTGCGGATGCGCACGGCGATGGCTCACCCGGTGGGGATACTACAGCAGCCTCAAGTTTCTTGGCTCAGATGCTATCTTTCAACAAGGCATACCTAAACTCTTCCAACTGCTACTATTTCACTGCCCATGGAGACAGACACTGCTACAACGAGGCAGCGAATAAAAAGGCGCGCAGCACTAGACGGGGCGTGCATTCTAGACGGCTTCCAAAGATGTGGGCCAGAAACGAGCATCAGCTTCTTTTGTACACCGGTGCAATGCAAACCACGCCCGAAAACACCGACAACACCCTGGTTGATGTGATGCGCTGGAATGCATCCGGATCAAGACAGAAGTTGTGCGACGGCGGGAGGTATGGCTACTGGTTTTTTGTCACACCAGGAACGAGCATTAAAGTGCAAATTGGCAGATCCCTCCGCTTGGCATCTCGCGAAGATGCTGGCATTTTGCTGAGCAACGACAGCAGTCGAACAGATCGTAACGACACTGGATGGTGCGACAGTGCTCGGAAGATGGGGTATGATTCGATACAGATCGTGACAGAAGGTGCTTACTATGTCAAGCACGCATCAAAACTTAAGCGGCGACAAACAGAGCTGGTCATCTGCAGCCTTCCAAACGGTCCAAGTACGTGCTACGCATGTGCTCCGGGCATCCGCTTTTATGACAAAAATTCCATGCGGTGTAATTGTGTCGAGGATAACTATTACGCACGTTGCGAAGACTAGGACGGACTATCCCTCGAAAAAGGTAGAAAAATAAGAGACATAGAACACCCGTGCTGGCTGGGGAACGAAGGTTGCGAGGTCAGTCGCTTTGGCGCGCAGCTGTTCGGCCCGCTCCTCATCAACCTGCCCATCATTGCTGGCGTGCTGGCACTGATGGCCTCTGCCGGCCTGGACGACGACGCCGTGATGGACTTTGTGTACCCCAGCACCGTCGCTTCAACCTGGGCCAGCGGCACCGTGGTGGCCACCTACCTGGCCTCCGCCTGTGGCATCCACTTTGTCAGCCTGTGGCTGTCGGCGCTGCAGTGCCGCTTCAGCGGCACCATCAAGGCCGGCACCTACTCCCGCTACTCCCTCACCTGGGCGCGCGCGTACCTCAAGATAAAGGCTGTTCACCTGTTTTTCACACCTTTGAAAAGGCCGTTCAAACGCACCCTCTCGCCCCGTGCAGCCGGCTGCTTGCTGGTGGCACTAGGGCCGCTGGGACGCGCAAGAAGAATGAGCAAAAAAGACGAAGATGGCGACGAGCACGAGCATGCCAAAGTGGGACTTCGCGTGCTGGACGAGGGGACATCCAAGCTCTCTTCACAGGGGGTCGGCCGTTACAGGTGGTCGGCCTGACTGGAGGACGGCCCCGTGCGCGCTCCCAGCGCCGAGCCGCGGCCCCACGCGCCACCTGGGCTGCCTCTGGCACGGCCGGGGTCCGCCGAGAGGCTGGGCTTGGCCGGCGGCGCGACGCATGGCCTGTGCTGCGGCCATCTCGGACGTTTAAGCGGCGCCAGCCAGCGGCTCGGCCGCGCATCCTTCACACACGCCGCCACGACCGGGACGAGCGGCCCCGGTGTCGAGCCATGGTGTGAGCTGCATGTGCGCGGCGGCCGTGGCGACAGCAGGTCCACCAGACGGACCTCAAAGCTTGCCGTCGGCGTGCTGTCGTGGCGAGAGCGCGAGACAGCTGCAGAGGAGCCGAGTGCAGTGACGAGCCAGAAGCTACCTGGGTCACCAAGTGGTGGATCTTGCCCATTCTGAGCAGGGCTGTGCTTTGGTGGGGTTGTGCTTGAGCGTGTGTGAAGTGGGAGTGCGTGCCGGCGGTGTCTGTGGGTGAAAAACAGGCGTGTGTGAGGCCGTAAGAGCCGTGGTATGAGCCAGAGTGGGCTTCATCACCAAAGATAAGGGCGGTTTGGGACAGCTCAGGCTTGATACTGATGGGCCTTGGCCAGGAGAGAGACAGAGAAGGCGAGGTGGTGAGCTGGGAAGCCGCTTTGTCTGCACCTGGACGTGTCGCGATGAAAAGTGCCAAGAAGCGCCTTTTGCGGCTATTGCTCAAAACATTTGGAGAGAAGGCCTACATATTATGACTGCATCCATGCGTCTGGTACATGAGGGCTGTGGATCGGGACATTTCACGGTCGGTGGCGCCGACAATGACCTCCGTAAAGCCCTCACAATCGCTCGGCACGGGCCACCGGGAGTGCTCTCGAGCGCCTACACCGGAGCATCACGAGCCGGTGTGAGCTTGAAGACCCGAGATAAGTGCGGTCTGGGACAGCTAAGGCTTGCTACTGATGGGCCTGGGCCAGGAGAGCGACAGAGAATGCGAGGTGGTGACCTGAGAGCAGGAAATAGCGCTTCGTGGCAAGGTCACACGCGGACGCTGCCAGCCTCTCAGCTCACCACCTCGCCTTGTCTGTCGCTCTCCTGGCCCAGGCCCATCAGTAGCACGCCTGAGCCATCCCAGGCCGCACTTACCTTGGGTCTGCAAGCTCACACCGGCTCGTGATGCCACGGAGAGGGCTCGAGATTGTCTCCGGTGGACCCCATCCGAGGCGGTTGCGAGGGCATTCCGGAGGTCATTATCGGCGCCACCGACCGTGATATGTCCCGACCCGCAGCCCTCATGCACCGGGCGCATGGGTACAGTCATAATATGTAGGCCTTCTCTCCCGAAGTTTTGAGCAAGGCGCAAATAGTACTTTTCGGCAGTTCATCACGACACCTCCATGCCGACGAAGCGGCTTCCCAGCTCACCACCTCGCCTTCTCTGTCGCTCTCCTGGCCCAGGCCCATCAGTGTCAAGTCTGAGCTGTCCCAAACCGTCCTTATTTTGGGTGATGAAGCCCACTCTGGCTCATACCACGGCTCTTACGGCCACACACACGCCTGTTTCACCCACAGACACCGCCGGCACGCACTCCCACTTCACACACGCTCAAGCACAACCCCACCAAAGCACAGCCCTGCTCAGAATGGGCAAGATCCACCACTTGGTGACCCAGGTAGCCTCTGGCTCGTCACTGCACTCGGCTCCTCTGCAGCTGTCTCGCGCTCTCGCCACGACAGCACGCCGACGGCAAGCTTTGAGGTCCGTCTGGTGGACCTGCTGTCGCCACGGCCGCCGCGCACATGCAGCTCACACCATGGCTCGACACCGGGGCCGCTCGTCCCGGTCGTGGCGGCGTGTGTGAAGGATGCGCGGCCGAGCCGCTGGCTGGCGCCGCTTAAACGTCCGAGATGGCCGCAGCACAGGCCATCGCTCAAACAATCGGCCGGTGCTAGGGCCGCCGCAGTCGCCGGTGGGCCCACGGCGATGGGCCTGGTCGATTTCAGCCGACGGGAGGGCAGCAGGGCCGCGTGCGGGGCCTGCGCTTGGATGTCCCCGTCGGGCGCACGGTGTGCCCACTGTAGGTGAACAGGCTTTATTGGCGTGCTGGAGAAGGCGTCCAAGGACCTGTCTGGCACGCTCCTGTGGCCAGTGTGGCTGCGGCTGGCGGGCGCCGACATTGGCGCCGGCTGCGAGATTTCCTCCATCTACGACGTCATCCCGGAGCTGACCACCATTGACCGCGATGTCTTCTTTGCCGACGGCATCTACCTGGGCGGCCAGCGCGTGAGCCGCGGCCAGGTGACGTTTGGCCACCTCACCATCGGCCACGACACGTTCCTGGGCAACCACGTGGTGCTGCCGCCCGGCTGCGCCCTGCCCTCCCACGTGCTGCTGGGCGTGGCCACGTCCCCCGGCAACGACGCGGAGGAAGCCGCCGCGCGCGTCCTCCCGCACACCTCCTGGTTTGGCCACCCCGCCATGCGCCTGCCTCGCCGCGAGGTGGTGCAGGTGGACCGCGCCCTCACGCACAAGGACGCCGTGTCCTGGCCGCGCTACGTGAACCGCGTGTTCTGGGAGTGGCTGCGCTTCGCCATGCCGGTCATGCCCGCGGCGCTGGTGCTGGCGTGGACCTCCACCCTGGGCTCCGCGCAGGCGGCGGTGCCGCCCGCCGTGTTTTACCTGCTCGTCCTGCCCGGCTACATCATCGCCTCCAGCGCTGGCCTGGTCATCACGGTGTGGCTGGTCAAGTGGATCTTGCTGGGCCGCGTGAAGCCGGGGCAGCACCCGCTGTGGAGCTGCTGGGCCTGCCGCTGGGACTACCTGTACACCATCTGGCAGCACTGGGCGGCGCCGGCCATGACGCCGCTGGGCGGCACCCCCTTCCTGCCCATGTGGCTGCGGACCGTGGGCGCCAACGTGGGCGACAATGTGGTGCTGCACGGCAACTTTGTGCAGCTGGTGGACCCGGACATGCTGACCCTCGAGACGGGCTCCACCGTGTCGTGCCTGTTCCAGGCGCACAGCTTCGAGGACCGCGTGCTCAAGATTGCCCCCGTGCGCATCGGCGTCGGCGCCTCCGCCATGGCGCAGACGGTGGTCATGTACGGCAGCAACATTGATGACGGCGCCACCGTGGCGCCGCACGGCGTGGTGATGAAGAATGAGCACCTCACCGCCGGGCAGTACTACCGTGGCGGCCCCTGCCGCGCCACGGCGCCGCCGCGCATGATCCGCCCGGCGCCGGGCCTGGACACGGTGTGCTCCGCCAAGGACCTGGAGTGCTACACGCTGCTGGAGGATGTGGCGTAACAGGGAGGTGGAGAGGGGGAGGAGAGATGAGGGTGGCCCCCTAGAGGGGTGGTGGGGGTGGTACATAATCGTGTGCGTGGTAGCGGCAGCGGCGCAGCCCATACGGCGGCCACGCTAGCCACACATCGACTCGGTAGAACAGTAAAGATTTGGATTGAAGGATGCGTCAAGAGAGGGTACAAGGGGGGCGGCACTCATTCATTCAAGAACTGCGACCGGCGGCGCAGGCACAGGCGCAGCCGCGGTGACAGACGGCGCGGCAGGCGCAGCAGGCTTGGCCACCTTCTTGCTGCCCTTCTTGCCCGCCTCCAGCTCCGCTGTCAAGCCGCTGCTCTTGCTCCGCTTCCGTTTCCGCATCATCATCGGCGGCAGCTCGCCGCCCTTGGGGCGCCAGCACATGGCGCGTTTCTGCCCCCCCTCCAGCGTCTTGGTTAGCCACACACGACCCTATATCACGCGTCTCACATTCGCACTCCGATTCAAACCTCTTGCGACGCATCGCGGTGATCACCCGCCGGCGTCTTCATCGGCATCATCGCCGCAGCCCGGCACTCCGTCGCCTCCGTCTAGCGCCGCGATCGCCTCGGCGACCGTCTCGTCGTCGAGCGCGAGCTCGTCGACGGCCGCGCCCAGCAGGGGCGCGTCTGCCGCCTCGCTCGCGCTGGCCTTGGCTGTCGCCGCCACCCCGGCCGCGTACGCCGCGTTGCCGATCGCGGCCCGTGCCGAGAGATTGTACCACGCCCAGTACGTCTCCCGGAAGCTCTCGCCTCTAGCGATGCGGCCGCGCCCACCGCAAGCGGCTCGACGGCTGCGGTCTCGGCGTGGAGTTCGCGCTGCCAGCGCAGCCGCACTGCGCCGCCGCAGTGCTCGCACCGCCGCTCCTCGAACCGTGCGACCGTGGTCGGCCACCTCGCTCGTCCTCGTGCAAGAGGCGGACCCGGCCAAGGGCGGCGGGACGCTGCAGGCGCTCCCCGCCCGCCCCCAGCTCGATGACCCTGCGGGGAGTGCGATTGCTCTCGCCACACACGGCTCTGAGGGGCGGTGTCACCGCCGCCGCCGCACGCCAGCACTCACTCACATAGGTACCGCGTTGGTGTCCAGTCCGAGCCTGGAGCTGTCCTTCACCTTTCTGCCTTTCTTTATACCTAACTTTTTTTACACAGATGTGCTTGTCAAACACGATGCTGGCAATCCCGGTCGCTGTGTGTGTCCCCTGCTCGCCACCCCGACGCTCAAGGCGCCCGAGTCGAACGACAGGCGGCACGCGAAGACTGGTTGCAATCCCGCTGACCGCCAGGCCGCGGGATGATGTGTGCGTGGTCATGTAGTGGGTCTCGGAAGCGCCCCTCTCGGGCTAGGGGCCAGCCCCTCTCTCCCTTGCCCTCGGAACACTGTGTCCGAGTCGAGGCGTGTGCTTGCCGGTCGACGGCCGCGCGCGGTTGGAGCAGGCGGACATCGCTTCCAGGGAGGGGGGCGTGCTTCTGCTCATGCTCCACCCCCCCCCCTAGCATGTGGTGAAGGCGCTGGGGGGGTTGGGACCCCCCCCCTAGAAGCATGTGGTGAAGCCTCTGGGGGGGGTCGGACCCCCCCCCTAGCATGTGGTGGGCACCCCCCAGCAGTTCGTGGGCTAGGAATAGCCGCCAGAGAGCCGATTTTGCCCCCAAAGTTGTGAAATCGTGGCTGAAAGTCCAATATCCTGGAGAATCTGACCAGTCTCAAGGCTCATGTAGCTCCAAAGGATGATTTCCCCCTCGAAAATGCATGCTGCGAAATGCGGCGTAAAATCAAGGGCCCGGAGGGTCTGACCACGAGTCTCTGGGGGGGTCCTCGGCCACGACCCCCCCCCCTAGCATGTGGTGAAGGTGCTGGGGGGGGCGGGACCCCCCCCCTAGCATGTGGTGAAGCCTCTGGGGGGGGTCGGACCCCCCCCCTAGCATGTGGTGTGAGCAGAAGCACGCCCCCCTCCCTGGAGGCGATGTCCGCCTGCTCTTGGCACTGTGACGAAGGTTGCGCGCGGCCGCGGCGCGCCCGCCATGGTTCGGCGCGGCGCGCCTACCAGCGGCAGTTGTCGAGGCACTGTCGTGCCAACGGAGCTTTGTTGTAAAAGCTACAGAACAAGCTGACGCGGGCCCAGTACCTTCGATGACGTGACTCTTGGACCACTAAGAATTCTTAAAATACAAGCCTCTCTCACAGCACACTGGGAACCACTAAGAATTGGCTGGGGCTGCAGAAGCAGCGTATCTCGGTCGTTCGTTCTTCACACGGCAATCGCAGAGCAGATGGTGAATGAGCTTGCCTGTGGCGGGGGCGGGCGGGTGCACGGAGCTAAGTGCCTCGCCGCCCTCGCAGGAGTCGCTTAGGCGGCTCCCTTGGTGTACCTGTGTTAGTGCCAGTGCGCGCCAGTCCCGTGCCCAGTGTCGTGAAAGAGTTTAGATAGATATATGGAAGGCGAAACACGGTCGGAGTTTTGTTGTAAAATTTCTACCCGCGAGGTGTGCCTGTGATAGTGCTAGCACGCGCCAGTTCGCACCTGTGTCGAGCCTGTCTGCTGTGAAAAATGGTTTTGTTTATATTCTACCGCGTGCGTTCCTCTTCGCGCGCAAAAAACGACGTGGGCATACTGAACACACGTATGTATATGCTGCACCGCGCATTGCACAGCCTCTTCACGTGCTCTACCCGCCCGCTGCTCGACGAGCAGGTCAGCATCCCCGAGGAGCCGAGGGCAGAGGAGTGCGAGCGCGGGCGGCGGCAGGCAATGGCCCTCGCGCGCGCCGCGGAGGTGGAGGGGCGGTGCGCCACGCTGGAGCAGCGGCTGGCTTCTGTTGAGGCGGAGCTGCATGCAGCAAACAGCGCCCGCAGCAGTGCTGAGGCGGAGCTGCAGGCGGTGGGCGAAGCCGCATTGGCGGCGGCGGAGATTGCCAATCAACTCCAGAGCTCTGCGACTACGACAGCTGCCACCCAGACCTCCGAGGCTGGGGTGCCGGTGGCGGGCGAGGCGTTTGAGGCGGCGGAGCGGGCGGCGGAGCAGGCGGCGGCAGCAGAGGACGGCGAGAAAGCGGAGGCGGCGAGGCTTGGGATGCTGCAGCTCGACGCCTTTCTGAGCCTCGCCCTCGGGGGTGGCGGCTTTGGGCCGATGGAGTGGCGGGCGGCGCTACCCGAGGCGATGGCCAAGATCCAGCGGGCGACGGGGGCGCTCGTTTCCCTCATCGGCGACTCAAAGGTGGTGCGCTCCGAGCGCGAGGCGGCCCTCGCCGAGCGGCTCCAAGCGTGGAGCAGCAAGGCGCACAGCTCGCTCTCCAAGCTGCATTCCCGCCTCGACGCCATATCCACCAAGTTCGCCAGGGCGAATGGGCGAGCGAGGACCGGCGCCCTCCCTGACAACGGCGTGTCGCTGGCTGATATGGCCGCGGAGCAGCTGGAGGCGGACATGAAGGAGGCGCTCGCCCTCCACCACGCGCTAGTCAACACCCTCTGCTCCAGCGTGGCGGGCGTTAACCGCTGCCAGCGCATCGCCGAGCGCGTCACCGCGCTTGCCAACCTTCTGCTGGGCGCGCTGCTGCGGATCCTCCCCGATGTCACCGTCCTGTGCATGCTCGTGCGGCGTTCGCCGCCCCTCCCTACCACCTCGCCATCCGATGGGCCCGCTGCGGGCGTGCACTCGGGCACCGCCATCTCTGCATCGTCGCTTCGCTCTCCGCTGATGCGGCCGCGGTCCACGACCACGTCGCCCGCCACCTCTAGCGCGGGCACGCGAGCGTTGTCGAAGGTCCGAGGCGGGACGCGGCCCGCATCTGCTGGGTGGCGCTGAAACCTGTCGTTTTCCTCGTCAACTTACCTTTTTTGCGGGAGCTTGATTTTATCACGCACACACAAAGTGGTGGGGCAAGGGGGCTAGGGGGGGCGACCCTCGGGGGCGGAGTCGCGGGAGAGGAGGGACACGCAGCCGCCGTTAGCCGACCGATCGCGAGTCGTATGTGTGCACACAGCTGCAGACTGGCGACAACACTTCAAAAGTCTAGCCGCAAACAGCGCGGTGTGTCTGGGACCTACGTTGCACACACCGCCTGCCTCTCGTCCCCGCAACCGAGCCCCAAGCGGCCAAGCTCAGCCGCGAGCTCAGCGGGCATGAGCCGGGTCGCAGCTCGCCCAAACTGGTCGCAGAGCGCAGGGTCGGCGCCCGCCTCGAGCAGGAGCCTCGTCATCGGCACGGCGGTGGCGAGAGGCAGCCGTGCCGCCGCGTGCAGCGGCGTCTCGAGCGGCAGCGTCGTGGCCTTGGCGTGCCGGCTCGCCCGCATCGGCTTGCCGCTCGTGGCCGAACGCACGCCGTTGACGGCGGCTCCGGCGGCGACCAGCGCAGTGGCGGTGCGCACGTGGCCGTTGACGACCGCCCAACTCAGCGCCGTCCGGTGCCAGCGGTCGCGGAGCTCCGTGAACGGCTCCTTGTGCGCGGGCCAGCCCGCGGCCGGCGTCGCCGCGGCGAGCAGCGCCTGCACGAAAGCTCAGGGAAGGCTCAGGGAAGGCCCAGGGAAGGTTCAGGGAGGCTTCCTGTGGCCGCGGCGGCGAGGAGCGCCTCCACCGCCTGCGTGTGGCCGGCGCGTGACGCGATGTGCAGCGCCGACTGGCGCCGCCCGTCACGCATCGCCAGCGGCGCGCCCGCCTCGAGCAGCGGCGCGATCGCCGGCAAGCCCGCCGCGGACGCGCACGCGACGTGCAGCGGCGAGTCGCCGGCGGCTGTCACCAGCGTCGGCGGCGCGCCGGCGTGCAGCAAACGGCGGACGACGGCGGCGTGGCCGGCACGCGCCGCCTCGTGGAGCGCCGACGGCGCTCCGCCGCCGCCGCGTGCCAACCGGTTGATGAACTTGTTGTTCGCTCGCGGCGCGGGCTGAGCTCCCATGGCCAAGCAAGAGGCCACCACGCTGTCGCTACCGTGGCGAGCGGCCGCCGCCATCGCGCGCTGCAGCAGAGCCTGCGCCGCCGCCTCGCCTCCGTGAGCAGCCTCGCCCGCTAGCTCTGCCAAAGCCGTCTCCTCCTCCGCCTCGGCCGCCGCCTCGGCCAACCCGATCGCCTCCTCCTCCTCCTCCTCCTCCGCCTCCGCCTCCGCCTCCGCCTCCGCCTCCGCCTCCGCCTCCGCCTGCGACCCGCTTGAGTCACCCTCCGTCGCCACGCCGTCCTCGCTCGGCGCCCGCACGCCCGCCGCGGCGAGAAAGGAACAGTACCGGCGCAACGACGGCCGGCGCAGCAGCTCGACCTACAAACGACTTCTTTGCGATGAACTCTTGACGGCTTGGCATTGGCGCACCGGCGGCCGGCGCGGCAGCTCGACCGGCGCGAAGGGGCCCTGGATCGTGCCGTAGTCTGCCTGGTCGGCCGCCTACGGGGCACGCCGTGGACGTGTCATGGACGTGTCCTGGACGCGCGTCCCGTCGCCCGCCTGGTTGGTCGCCGCCGCTGTCTCGCCCCACCTCGCGGCGTGCGACTGCGCGTGGCTGTGGTGGTGGAGGAGGCGGAGCGAGAGATGCGGCGCGCACGCCCAGCAGCAGCCTGGAAGGCGATGGGGTGGTGTGGGGTGGTGTGGGGTGATGTGGCGGGGCTGGTGTGGGGTGGTGTGGTGTGGTATGGGGTGGTGTGGCGGGGGTGGTGTGGGGTGGTGTGGGGTGGTGTGGGGTGG